ATATCCTTATTCGTCGTTGCTTGATATGGGCACCACAGGCATTCAACTGCACGATAAGAATTTGTTGTCTTATCTATGCTATCTTTGGGTATTAGTATTTAAATGTAAAAGAACATCTCGCCAAATATGGCGGAGAACTGGACTGATGCCAAGTTAAATCTCCGCGAATTTTGGCGTGTTTTGCAGTTAATTGGACAAAAGACGTGCTTCCATAAACTATTATTGGCACTGGACTAAAATGCGGCGCAGCTAAGTTAAAATCGTGTGTGGTTGTTCGTTATTGATGGGGTGATTAGTTCCTTGCGTTCGTAAAGATTCATTTGTTTATCGTCATGTAAACAAAGGTATTTTCACCGGAGTTTGGTCATTCACGCAAAGGACCGGAGAGTGGGCCGAGGCGTCGTGGTCAGTCCCGGGAAAGTGTTGAGTCCGAAAGATAGATGTCGCTAGTAGTTGGCTCGGTTTGGTTGGCTATCTTGTGGAATGTCATGTAGCTGGGAGATTTATCAGATAGGGCATGTATTCAGATTTGAAGATATTCTTAACATAATGATGGTAACAGTAATGATAGTAATGAAAACTCTAATAAAAATATAATAGTAGTAGTAGCAGCAGTAGTTGTGATAGTCACAGTATTACTAATGGTATTAGTAGAAGTAGTAGTGATAGTAGTACTAGTACTAGTAATACCATTACTTGTACCAGTAGTAGTAGCAGCAGCAGCTGTAGAACTTGTAAAAGTAGTATTAGTATCAGCAGCAGTAGTACCAGTAATGATAGCATCAGCAGTAGCAACAGCATCAGAAGTAGTAGTAGCAACAGCAGCAGGAGCAGCAGCAACAGTAGTAGTAGTGTAGTAGTAGCAAAAGCAGCAACAGTAGTAGTAATAGTAGCAGCAGCAATGATGATAGTACTACTACTGCTAGTTTTGTTAATACTACTAGAAGTAATAGTAATAATAATACGGATGATAATGATAATAGTAATATCAAGGCTAATAATTATAATAATGATAACAAGGGTAATCGTGATAATAAGGAGAAGAATTATGACTAATGATAATGATAATAATGATAGACAATGATAATATCAATAACAAAATAATGATAGAAATGATAATAGTGATAATAACAATAACAATGATAAGATAAAGATAATGATACATTAATGATAATCCTCATCATCATAATGATGATAATAATAGTTATCATTATCATTATTATTATTATTATCATCATTATTATTATAATGATGGTAGTGAAAATAATGATTATAATGATGACAATAACGATGGTGATAACAGTGATGATGATAACTACTAGTGCTACAACCTTTACTACTAACGATAATAATAACAATAATAATAAGGATAATACAAATGATATAAATGATAACAATAAGGATGATGATGCTAATAATAATAACTATAATGAAAATGTGATTATGCTAATAATAATGATAAGCCTAATAATCGCTCTTTTAGGAAATTTAAAAGAAACATTGGCCATTCTGTCAGTGATATAGATACTGATTTTCAAGGAACTACCGACCAAAAATGACATAATTAATTTCAAGCAACTATAATCAATAACAAATAATAGATAATTCTTATTGGTGGTCTACGTTTCCGCGGAAGTAATACATCAACATTTAAATTCGTATAATTATTTGCCAGAAAGTACACAAAACATTGTCTAGAGATACATAACTAAACCTTGTGGGTTAATAGATGAAGGCTGCTTTCGAGTAAACAAAATAGTGATTTTTAACAGAAAATCATCCGTCATATTTTGTAGAAAATGGTAACTAGTCGTGGTGCAAATTGCCAAACAAAAGGAAAATGTCTTCTGAATTGCACGTTGTAAAACTGCGGTACATAATTCTCTAGATCAGTGTTTCCCAAGCTCTTCTCAGTGATGGTATCTTAATCTCACATAGACCTTTCTGTAACACCCTTTTCTTTACCCTTACCTCATACGAATCTACCTTACCTGAAAGTGCGATGCCCTATATCACTACCCTTAACAATATATGAAATACTTTGTTAGTTTGGTTCACACGTACTGTAGAATGATTAATCAATCAAATATTTTGCAGCAGTTATTTCTTTTACAATGAAAAGATGCTATTTTTTCTCGTAAGAGATTTCATTCTAATGCATGTCTGTACGAAAAATACACAAATTTCACAACAATAAGATTCAAATCTAGATATGAAAGCACAATAAAGAATTCCAGAGTAACTTTATCAATTGCTATAGTTCCCCCACCTTATATGATTAAATAGTATTGAGGATGTTCAATAGATGGCGTTAAATCCGGTGTGTGATATGTCTGGAAATTCTTTTATATCGTTTGTCGATAACCTTGTTCGTGATTAAAAAAAACACTTATATTCTGGCCTTCGCGAAAAGATTAATAAAGAAAAATAATATATAACACGGACTGTAGAAAAACACATTGTTTTGTAAATATAATTCACATTATCGTAATCTAACGAATGTCTTCCTCCCTGTTAGAATAACTGCGATGTAAACAAATAAGCGGCTTCAAACACCAGACGTCGCCAAGTTGAGAAAAATGGAAATGGAAGGTTTGTTGAATTACACTTTGAGTCTGAAACGTGAAATTACGATTAACTGATATAAAAATTACAGCTGAAAATATAAGATGATCGTGCCACCTTTGCAGTGGTAATTATGATATATTATTGCATATGCATTATCTCACTAATCTTAACCATTTCCGCTCATTTCCGTGTCTAAGGGAAAGTGAGATCAAAAGTCCAAACACGTCTGATGGGACCTTTTGGATGTTGTAGATCCATGGGAGTAGCTTGAGAAACAGAGACTTAGTTTAAGATGGGTGCAGTCACTTTATGAACAATTGCCAAAACCTTTATTTACACCATATGCAATGTAAAAACAAGAGATTCATGTATATTACATCTTGCATAGTGGAAACAAGGAATAAGAACTGCAAGGTTGATGGCTGTGTGAAACAAAAAAAAAGGACTCAACCTTGAAATAGTCAGTAGCAACTGAGTTCTTATATTACTGTTTACTTCTAATTATATATCTGGTTTAAGATTACTGACATTCCATGCATTTACATTTAAAAATCTCTCTCTCTCTCTCTCTCTCTCTCTCTCTCTCTCTCTCTCTCTCTCTCTCTCTCTCTCTCTCTCCTCTCTCTCTCTCTCTCTCTCTCTCTCTCTCTCTCTCTCTCTCTCTCTCTCTCTCTCTCTCTCTCTCTCTCTCTCTCTCTCTCTCTCTCTCTCTCTCTCTCTCTCTCTCTCTCTCTCTCTCTCTCTCTCTCTCTCTCTCTTCTCCTCTCTCTCTCTCTCTCTCTCTCTCCTCTCTCTCTCTCTCTCTCTCTCTCTCTCCTCTCTCTCTCTCTCTCTCTCTCTCCTCTCTTCTTCTCCTCTCCTCTCTCTCTCTCCTCCTCTCTCTCTCTCTCTCTCTCTCTCTCTCTCTTCTCTCTCTCTCTCTCTCTCTCTCTCTCTCTCTCTCTCTCTCTCTCTCTCTCTCTCTCTCTCTCTCTCTCTCTCTCTCTCTCTCTCTCTCTCTCTCTCTCTCTCTCTCTCTCCTCTCTCTCTCTCTCTCTCCCTCTCTCTCTCTCTCTCTCTCTCCTTCCTCTCTCTCTCTCTCTCTCTCTCTCCCTCTCTCTCTTCTCTCTCTCTCTCTCTCTCTCTCCCTCTCTCTCTCTCTCTCTCTCTCTCTCTCTCTCTCTCTCTCTCTCTCTCTCTCTCTCTCTCTCTCTCTCTCTCTCTCTCTCTCTCTACCTCTCTCTCCCTCCCTCTCTCTCCTACTCTCTCTCACCTCTCTCCTACCTCTCTCTCCTACCCTCCTCTCTCTCTCCTACCTCTCTCTCTCTCTCCTCTCCTACCCCTCTCTCTCTCTCTCCTACCTCTTCTCTCTCCTTACCTCTCTCTCTCTCTCTCCTACCTCTCTCTCTCTCTTATCTCTCTCTCTCTCTCCTACCTCTCTCTCTCTCCTACCTCTCTCTCTCCTATCTCTCTCCTATCTCTCTCTCTCTCCTACCTCTCTCTCTCTCTATCTCTATCTCTTTAAAAAAAAATTCTATACTGCCCACCACTTCCTTGTAAACTATTTAGTAGTTGCTGTTAATTCAATATGTATTTGATTTTACTGAAAATCAGCTGCCAATTTCAGTTGGAACATATAATAAATATAAACATATTTTAAAAACCTTTACTGTATTATGAATGCACATAGGGTTGCATTTTCCATGATGAGAAATTAGTGATAATTATTAATGAAAGTAATGATAACTGACCAATAGTATTGTTTTGATTAACTTCCTACACAGACTACCAGAATGCGTGCTGTTAAATATGACATTCAAGGAAGAGAGAGCAAATCATTTAGCTACATTTACCCATCATAGATCACTTCAGTCTTCCTTTTCTAAGTATTGAAAATATTTACTAATGATTAGTTTTGTATTGCATTTTAAAAAATCTCGTTGCCATCATTTTTTAAAGAAATGCATGGCCAGACAATAGATTATATAGTTAAATTAGTAGACATTCTGTGGTTAGATAAGAAAAGAAATACAAATTGCACTCTTCTTTTTTTTTTCTCCTAAAATTTGTGCTGTAGTAATTGTGCTTGGGACAATCTACAGGTTTGTCTGAGACAAGTAAAGTGTGTGTGTTCATTCATACGAGATGAGTGGTTATTAGAGATTGTGGATGCAAATATTATTTTGTGCAGTAGTTTCTTTAATATCCAGAAGGCACGCCCTCCCCAACAGTAGGATACTAAACATAAATAATTTCATTGCATGATCACTTCAATATGTAATGGATTCATCTGTACAAATTTGGTCACAAAAGCTCTTGTAAATAAAAAGTTATTTGTGATTCAATGAGTGCAATAGAATTTTATTCTTATGAAGACCTAATCCATTGACACAATATATAGTAGAAAATGTCTCACTGAGGAAGCAATCCTTGTTTTATTTATAGTTCCAAGTATAGTATATATCTCTTATTTCTTTTCTTTATTTGATTAGTGTAGGGTACTTACACAAATAGATGTTTAAAATGTAAAAATTATATGCTAGTGATACTGAAACTTCTTATTAAATTTCAAGTTTTGTAAGGAAAAGCACCAGTTTTCATGCTTTATTCACTAATTTTCTCCTTTCATTTACAGAGAAGACTGAGAACATCTTTGAACTCAAGGATGCGAGATCTGTTCAAGACCCCATCCATGAATATGGACCAAATTACAAAGGAGTTCCATTGATCATTGATAATGGTAGATATGTGAATGAAAATATGATTACAGTTGATAGTACTTTTTCTTCAAAGAATTTTTGCATTTCTGTTTGCATTATTTCTTGCCACTGTTCATTATTATATTGAGATCAATTAACCTTTCGTACTGTCTTCTTTGTTTTCAGGATCATATAATTGTCGTGTAGGATGGGCCATAGACCAAGAGCCAAGAGTAGTCTTCCGTAATTGCTATGCAAAACACAGGAAAGATAGGGGGAAAAATTGGCAGCGGTAATGTTTGGTCCATTTGTGTATTATAAAAAAACTGAAATAATGTATTTTTGTCTGGTACTTGAGTGATAAAAGTCATAGAAGTGATATTTCTTGTACAAATGTATACAGAAAAATACTTTTTGTCATTTCAATGTTGTAAAGTATGCACTTGATATGCAGTTCAGTTATTTTATTGTCAGTATTATTTTTACTTCCTTTTTCACATTTTCACTTACTCATTCAATTACTTTCATTTAGGAGATTGAGGTGTTGGTGGCTAATGACATAAGTAACATTGAAGCTGTGCGGTTCCAACTAAAATCACCCCATGATGAGAATATTGTCACTCATTATGAGGCACAAGAGACGATGTTTGACTACACATTCTCACACTTAGGCATCGACACAACGCAAGTGGATCACCCAATCGTGTTGACTGAAGCCTTTTGCAATCCCAATTACTCAAGACAGTGTAAGTATCACTAAGGAAGAAATACCTTACTATTGCTGAAAGCATTCTGCAATTTATCTCATTTGATTTCAAAGGACATTGTATTTAAGACCATTATTATTTATAATTTTTTATGATAGTAATGAATATCTTTAGCATGGCATGGAGAGAGAGAGAGAGAACTGTGTTGGGCAAGCACTTGAAAAGGTACCATAATACTTACCAGTTAGCTTTGAATAGGTTATACATTTCTGTTTTATATTTAAAACAAACCAGCTGCAGTTTCAAAGGAAGTGCATTGTTAATTACTGGTTTGTATTTCAAATCAACACAGCATAGTAAACTTTTTTTAAAATATGAAAACACTTGATTATTAGATATGTAAATGTAAAAGTGATGCAATGTCAAAAATGTATAGGTTTCATTCTAGTAAAGTTTAATATGTTTTGTATATTTTATTATAATCCACCTCAGTAGACATTTGTTTACCCTCTTGCTATGCCACTGTATAAAGTATAAGCTGTTGAAAAAGCCCTTATCTCATAAAAGAAAAATACAAGATGAATTCCCCCCCCCTCCACACACACACACAAGTACACCAAAGACTGGAAATAAAAAAAAAAAACAGTTGAACAATTTGGCACTAGTCTCTCTCTCACATGCTCACCCACTCACTCACTTACTCACACACTCACTCGCTCACTCACTCACTCACTCACTCACTCACTCACTCACTTCACCTCACTCATCACCACTCACTATCACAGCACTCACTCACGTCTCTAAGTTACTCACTTCACGTTTAGATTGATATTGGTACTTGCTTTACTATGCATTTGAAAAGATGAGGTCTGTTGATCGCCTTTTATATGTGTAAATTTGTAATTGTTTAGGTTTTCATGCTTTCCTGTTGTTAATCATTTCCCAGTCAGGTGCATTTCTGTTTTGATATCTACACGACTAGTGATGTCGGAGGTTGCTTGTTTGATGCTTATGGTGTTGGCCAAGCATATTTCTTTTTTGTGATTGTGGCTTGATGGAAATGCTGGTACCACAGGAATTAACTTAAACAGTGCCAGATGAGGTTACCAGTTACTAGGTGTCAACATTGGTAAATGATACACCAAACACATGACTACACCCCCGTTTTGGATGGCTTCGCTGCGCGATGTCCAATGAAGTTTAAACTGTAGATGCAAGGATACTTTAGCCGGAATGGTGTCGGACTTTCAACCTCTACCAAATTTCTGTTGTGCTGATTAGGCTGCCCGACTGTATAGCTTTCCTTTCGCAACACCTTTGATAATGCGATGTTATCTCTTTCTAGGGCTGAAATCACGCGCGCTAAGGGTACAATATCGATTTGATAATAGCTTTTCTTCTGTAAGTTTGATAGCAGGATGTCCAAGTGGATATTTCCCACTAAATTTGTACGTCTACTTTATTTAGTATTCTATGTTGGGGGTGGTGTATGCATGTATACTATGTATTCTCAGAAAGTACCCGATAAACATGAACCCGCCGCCATTTATTAGTCGGCTTCTGGGATTCGGTTGTTTCCACACAGTGAAAATGACAAAGGAAATGGATTGCAGGCCCCACTGCGCGAAAAAACACTGTCCACTGCCAAACGAGCAAATGGTTTTTCACACGGGTTTATTTTAGGCCTAAAGGGTGGTTGAGCTCATGGAAGTTGTGTGTTCGGTTTCTAGGTTGTGTCATAGGCTGAACTCGCAGTGCTGGGTGAAGGGAGAAATTAGTATTTCTGTGTACTTAGATAGGCGGCCTACAGCACACACTATTTAGTGCTTCTGAGTTTTCATTATCTATCACAATATTAGTGTTCATAAATTATATATAAGTTTATGAGTTTAAGTTATTAGTATTTGTTTTGATTTATTGGTATGTCATTACCGGAAATACATGCCACTCCAAAAGGACAGTAAAGAATTAATTTAATTTGCGCTACAGTGTTATTGCTTTGTTTTAAAAAGGGATTGAGGAACAGTTATCCTTACGTCTATTTATATAAATAATATAAGTCTCCCCATATATCGTTGTCTTACGTCAGTGGAAGTTGTATTACTTCGGTTTTGCATCTGTTACTGTAACTTTCACCATCATTTGTTAACCTAAAGCAAAATTTTAACCTCACTTCTTCGCCCTTTTGGGGCCATGAAGGCGATAATATTTGGTTGCTTGCTTGTTGTTGTTGTTTGGTTTTGTTGGTCTTTGTATCAAATTAATACATACTCAATACCAATGATTTTTTTTAATTATTGTCGTTTTTTATGATATAAGCACTAGCGTGGTTAGTCGGATGATTGCTCCACTGTATGTACGACTACACAATGTACATGCACTGCGAAACGGGGAACTACATGCCTGGAAACTTGCAAAGTTGGTCGTTGAATGGTTACTTATTTTGAAGATTCAACAATGTTTCATTGTGCAAAATCCAGACTTCCTATGAGCAGCACCAATCAAGCACAGTTCTTTTTTGCTTATCAGTAGGAGCAGCAGACCGAGACAACGAGCGGTAAACGAGGCCAGCCCAAAGCATGGTGGAATTGACAATGCAAAGAAAGAGAAAGAGCAAGTATTTTGGAGTATAATCCATGTAATTGCATGTTGTATTGGAAAGGAATTGGTACCAACGATATTTAAAAGTAAGGGTTTTCTCCTGTGTTGTCTCGTTCAATGCCTTTCTCTCTTCTTCTCTCTCGTTCTCTCTCTCATCTCTCTCTCTCTCTCCTCTCTCTCTCTTCCTCATCTCTCTCTCTCTCTCTCTCTCTCTCTCTCTCTCTCTCTCTCTCTCTTCTCGCTCTCTCTCTCCTCTCTCTCTCATTCTCTCTCTCTCCTCTCTCTCATTCTCTCTCTCTCTCTCTCTCTCTCTCTCATCTCTCTCTCTCTCTCTCTCTCTCTTCTCTCTCTCTCTCTCTCTCTCTCTCTCTCTCTCTCTCTCTCTCTCTCTCTCTCTCTCTCCGTCTCTCTTCCTCTCTTCTCTCGTCTCTCTCTGCATCCATTCTCTCTCTCTCATTGCTCTCTCTCAGATCTCTCTCTCTCTCCTCTCATCTCTCTCTCTCTCTCCCTCATTCTCTCTCTCTCTCTTTCTATTTCTAGCTCGTCTCCTCTCTGCTCATTCTTCCTCTTCTTCTTCTCCTCTCCATCATCTCTCTCTTCTCTCTGTCTCTCTCATGTCTTCTGCTCTCTCTCTTCTGCATCTCTTCTCTCTCTTTTCTACTACCTATCTTACTCTCTTCTCTCGTGTCTCATGTCTCTCTCTCATCTTCTTTCAAATTCTCTCTCTTCTCATCTTCTGCATTCTTCTCATACTTTCCTCGTTCTCTCCTGCGATTTCTTCTCTCTCTGCCGTTCTCTCGATTCTCTCTCTCCCCTCTCGTCTCATTCTCTCTCTCTCTCTTCTCTGCTCTCCTCTCTCTCTCGTTCTCTCTCTCTCGTCCTCTCTCTCTTCGCTTGGTCTCTCTTCCTCTCTCTCTGCTCCTCTTACTCTTCTCTCTCTCTCTTACTCTCTCTTCTTCTCTCGTCTGTCATCTCTTTCTCTCTTCATGTCTCTCTTCTCTCTGTGTCTCTCTCTGCTTCTATCGCGTGTTCTCTGTCATACTCTCCTCGATGTTCTCGTCGTCCTCTCGTGGCTGTTTAACGTCTGCTCATCTCTCTCTGCTCTTCATTCACTGTCTCTCTCTCTCATCTCTCTCACTTCGTTTCTCTCTCTCTCTCTCTCTCTCTTCTCTCATTCTCTCTCTC